TGCCCATGGCAGGGGGGTTGGAACTAGATGATCTTTAAGGTCCCTTCCAACCCAAACCATTCTATGATTCTATGATAACTGAATCTCCTTGCAAAGGATCCATCTGACAAAAATTGTGGGAGTAATCCATTCTTTAATAGACATTAATACACCATTATTAAGACTTGGCTTTCTGTTTCTCAGTTTTTCAGGCTTTTAGTGGTTTAGGGAATAGCTTGGTGCTCAACAACTTCAAAACATAATTTCTACTCTACAGCACATCCAAAAATGCATGAGCTTCAGCACTCACGATGACTGGACATGACCTTTTGAGCTGTCTCTGCACCTTTCAATGCACATATGTACAATTTGCAGTCTATCTCCTAGAAACCCATCCTCTCCATTTTTCAAAAATGAAGACAAACTTCTTCCCTGATCAATGAAAACTGACAATGAAATCAAGAGCAGGACAAATTATTTTATCAGCAGAAAGCAAAGATAAGTGTTTCCCCACCCACACTGTACACAGAGTTATGCCAGTTATGGCAAGGCATACAAACAGCTCTGTCGCTATCCACATATCCATTACTAGCACTCATTTGTCTAGACAAAAATGTATGCTTTCAGCTTCCTAGTATCTCTTCTCCTACAGAAAAGTGGGAAGCCCCAAAGTCAGAAACAAATTCAGGGAAGATGCCCATTTTCCTCCCATTGAACTCTTTGGAATATCTTCTGAGAAGGCATTTTGTTCATAGGAACTATATAGTCTTTATTTGCTTGAAAGAGTGTGGTTTCTTAATCATTTAATCTCAGTAATTGGAAAAATTAATTAAAAAAAACCCAGTTCACTCACTGTCTTTAAAAAGATTGAATAATAATCTTAAACTACTTCAAGGGCATGTCTGTAGTGTATTGCACAGTGCTGCCCTGATGACCCCAAAAGGTCAGGCAAGTCATTTGGGTATCTTGCAGAAATGGTATGTTGAATCTAAATGCAAGTGCACCTCATTGCAAAGGATGCTCAATAAGCATCAATGCAGCTTTCACTGTCTTATGTTCTACTGTACAATGAAGCCATAGCCTTAATGTTTAGGGAACTGGTCTTTTTTATATTGTTTCCAACAATACTATATCACTAAAGCATTATAAAATGCACTAAACATATGTGGTGTAGTGGTGTTGCATTGTATTCATTTGGTTGTGGCTTTAAGAAGCTGCTGTGGCATGTACAATTAGAATAGCACATATATATACCTGGAATTGCAGAAGCTGTCACAGCAACTATACAGGTCCAACAGCAAGCCACAGTGCAAAAACAGTTTTTACTAACTGTATCACACAGTAACAGTAAAAATAAGAGAAGTCTTCCTAGCATCCCATCACCAGAGTTTCACCACTCATGCACGTGAGGGAAAGGCACAATAATAGACTGCTCAAAAATACCATTAAATTGCAATATTTTAGGATCCAACTCTGCAGACCACAGCCTCATAGGTAGTCTCATTTCAGAGACACTCTTCACACATGTAAAAATTGTTCACTCAAGTAAGGGTTTCAGGGCTGAGTGACTCCAGCAGCCAGCCACATCACTGACAGTACTTTACTGCTGTCACTGTTCAAGCACTGCTGGTTTTCTGCCTGGGATTTAGCCTGCTGGCCAGCCACAGCACAAATGTAATGGTGCACACCCAGGCCATACTCTGGAGAGAACTAAATAAGTCCCTTCATGAGGTGACTACAGGAGCAGGAAAACCAGCTCCAAACTGAATAGTAGAGCATGTCAGGGTTCCAGTCCTGTGCTGTACGGAAACAAGACAGACTGCATCGCACGGCCATGGCACCCCAGAACATAACACCACCTCAAATGGTCCTACTTATATCAGCACAAGGTAAGACAGCAGGTACTAGACAATATGAGGCATACAAAATTGGCATTCAAATTGAGAGAACTTAAAGAGTTCACAGTTAAATATTCCCCAGTAATCATACAGCCTCAAGGGTAGTAAGCATTGTCTTCTGGATTTAAAAGAATTGCTAAATCAAATTCACAAGTTTTGTTAACAAAATTTTTTATCCCCTGTTCACTGGAAAACCAAAAGAATTAAATAGAATGAGTTGAGATATTTACCTGTTATGAATAGGTCCTCTGAACTTTGGGTCAAATTTCCTTGGTTCACCTGCATTTAAAATAAAACAGTATAAAAATATGTCCTTATTTAAAACAAAATCTATAGAGAGGGGGGTGTTAACAGCAGTCTTTGAAGAACAACTTCCATATACTCCTATTTAATCAGTTCTGTTAAAATCATTTCATGCAGGCAGTATCAGTAATTCACCAATACGATTATATAGTTTTTGTAGATGAGATCAAAGCCTTTTTCTTCTAGTCCAAAAACTTTGAGGGCCTCACATTTACCACATGATAAATTACCTTTAATGTACATCCTATCACTACACCTATGCACAGTGTTCACAGTAGAAAGTTGCTGATACTTGAGAGACAAGGATTATGTCTCACAGTCACATGCTAAGTGTGTTTGGCAGCAAGTGAGTGAACCTACCTCTCTGGAGCTATAGGATAAGCCCTTCTGATTTTTCTCTAAAAGAACAGTTTGGAGTCATGTCTGTACTTAATGTTATACTTACATTCTTGCAGAGTTATTCTTACTTCCCACTGCTTTGGTTAAAGGACTTCATAGACATAGAGTTGCAGGTTTGCCCTTTTTGCATGGGGCTTAGGAGATGACAAAGCATGGCTGGAGGCTGCAGAAATTCAGTGCTGACCTTGCTCTACACTACCTTGCACAGGTAGTGAAACTGCACCAGCTTCTCCAAAGCCGGAGATGAGGTACAGCGCCACAAAGCAGGCAGAAGAGCACATGTTTCAAATATCTTCTCTAACTCTCAAGTAGATGCACCCATCACATACCCCAGTGTATGAAGCAGAGCAGGTTTTAAAGTTGGTTATACACATATTCATGAACATGGTTGTTGCTTTATATGAATCTCAGAATGACTAGAAGGTCAAGTCAGGTCCCTCCTAGAAACAGTCAGTAACATCTGGCCATAGTTTACAGATGAAAGGAATCAAACGTGCTACATTTTTTTCATGTGGCTATCCTGGTTAGCATAGTTCCAATTGATTCACCCTACGCATAAGCAAACTATTTTAAGAAGCTGCCAAATACTAACCCACCAATCTGTGCTTCAAATGTGGACTTGAATAAGATGAATTACAGTATGATTTCACTTGGGAAAGTGTAACAAAAATTTATGGTAGAATTTAAATTTTCAAGTTTCAAGCTACTGTATGAAGAGAAAGAAGCAGTCCTTCAATCAACAGACCAGGATTTGGATTTTTCCTTTTGAAGCTAGGTATTCAGCTTTATGGGAATTTTTTTTAAGGTCAGTAATTATGGAGCTTTACTGAACCAAACTTTGTGCAATGAAAAATTCTTCATTCAAATATCAACACTACAATACAAATTACTGTTTCAGAGTGCTTTCTCACTGCTTGCTTAAGGATCTCCTGAATATACCTGGTATTAAAGGGTGTTACCAGCCTAAGCTTTCCCCTGCCTTCAGAAAAAATACTTATTTTCTTCAATTAGAGAAGAACTTAGCAACTTCTCAAAAGCAAAATTTACTTATTAACTAAACGCCAGACTTTGTTCTTGGTTTATATCAGAAAAACCTTATCAAAATACACACAGACCAGTACAATAAACACAGCAGGTAATAAAATTCTATTTGCCCTTCATCTGAGGTGTTCAGGTCCACCTTACCAAGGTCCTGAAACAAATATATTTTAACACAGAAGAGTTTGGGAAAGCTGAAACTTCGGAAGAGTGATGTGTGACAGCAATGCTGGGGAGTGGAAGATACAAGTTATGCTGTTACACAGGTACTATGGGAACCCACCATGGTCCAGAAAGCAAGTGTACCATAAACAATACTTAATGCTGGGCCAAACCCTGTATTTTGAAGAACCTTTTTGTACAGCATTTTCTACAAAGTTAGTATTTCTACAAAATAATTTCTCTCCAGAACAATTCACATTCTGTAACATTGCTCCCTATTAATAAGTTCTGACCATAAGGCACACTGAAGTGAACCTTTGTTCATTGCTCACACAGGACCCAAATTTAGCATGTAAGAACAGTCATATCAGATCACAAGAAAGATGCACTGAACCCACACCCTGTATCTAGCAAGGGGCCATAGTGAATACCCGAGGAGAAACACAAAATCAAGGCAAACATAGTGGTATTTCCCTAAAATTGAGATTACAGAGATTTGCAACTGCACTTTTCTGAACCAAAGGAAGTGACTTTGTATTTAATAGTTGTGGGTGAATTTCTTTCTCATTTATTTCATAAATCCCTATTTAACTTGTGTACACTTTAACAATCTGCAATGCCCTACATCACAGAATACTACAGGTTAATGAAACATTGAAGTACTACCTCCTTTTGTCTGTTTTAAGCTTGCCATCAGTCAGCTCATACCTGTATGGCAGCTAATGTATGCTACTAATAGTTTTACAGGTTATTATATTCCTCTTTACTTGTCTATCTTCAAGGGTCCTAGTCTGTTCAATTGTTTCTCATATGTAAGCCATTCCATACTTTTGGTCATGCTTATATTCCTTTTCTCTACTACATACTACTGGAAAAGGAAGGGCCAGAACTGCACAGAATATTCACCATAAATATTGGCTGTGTGTCCTGGTTTGAGCTGGGATAGAGTTAATTTTCTTTCTAGTTGCTGGTATAGCGTTGTTTTGGGTTCAGTATGAGAAGAATGTTGATAACACACTGGTGTTTTCAGTTGTTGCCAAGTAATGTTTAGACTAAGTCAAGGATTTTTCAGCTTCTCATGCCAAGCCAGCAAGAAGGCTGGAGGGGCACAAGAAGCTGGGAGGGAGGACAGCCAGCAAAGCTGACCCAAACTGGCCAAAGGGATATTCCATACCATGTGATGTCATGCCCAGTATATAAGCTGGGGGGAGTTGGCCTGGGCAGGGGGGGAGCTCAGGAACTAAGTGGGCACCAGTTGGTGGGTGGTGAGCAATTGTATTGTGCATCACTTGTTTTGTATATTCCAATTTTTTTATTATTATTATTATTGTAATTTTATTATTGTTGTTATTATCATTACTAGCTTCTTCCTTTCTGTTCTACTAAACTGTTCTTATCTCAACCCATGAGTTTTACCTTTTTCTTCTGATTCTCTCCCCCATCCCACTGGGGGTGGGGGTGGGTGGGTGTGGTGGCGTGAGTGAGCAGCTGCATCGTACTTGGTTACTGGCTGGGGTTAAACCACGATACTGTGATTTATACAATCATATAATGACTTTTTCTATTTGATCTCAGTCCATTCCTAATAATTCTTTCTTACAGTCTACTTGGTTTTGGGGGCAAACACTTTCACTGAATCATCCATTAAGACCCAAAGTTCTCACTCTTTAATGTTAGTAATTAGCTCAATCCCACTACTGGAGGAACCCATTCTCCAAAGATACTCAATATTTTCCTTAAGTACTTGAATAATGAAGTAGAACGAACACTTTGAAGCTGTGCAGGTGACTGGTGTTAAAATACTTCTGGAGACAGAATCAAAGGGATTTTGATAAACAATTTAACAATTCAAAGTTATTTTCATAAACTGAAGAAAGTTATAAAGACAAACTCCATTCACAAATCCATACAGAATACTTGCTTTCAACAACGCGGATGAGAAGAACCCTGAAGGATTACAGCAGACTGCAAACAGCCAATGAGTCAGTTAAGCGATTCTTTGCAAAAAAAAGCATAACTCATTCAAGAAGTGAGAGCATGACTGGTGAAGTCACTGTTCCTTGTGCTTGGGACACGTAAGGCCTCATCTGAAAAACTATTTCTAGATCATGGCCCTAGAATTTCAGATGACACAGAAAAACTGGAGACAGTAGAAAGACTGATTAAAAAGAAGACACTAAGAGGTTTACAAAAAGCAGTAAATTAATGCAAACTTCAATGACTGTGATTAAGAAAAGGAGCACAAAATAATGGTCTTCAAATACCATATAAAAGAGAGAGTAATCAGTTGTTCTCAGCGTCCTCTATCAGAGAGAGAAGCTAACTTCATTTACAGCAAAGATGGTTTTAGATTAGGCATCAGGAAACCTTTCAGAACACATGGGCAGTTACACACTGGAACAGATTTTCCAAGCATACTTCTGAAGTTTCCTCACCCTAAGCTTTTAAGAATGGATTAGACAAATACCTGTTGGGAAGAGAATAGAAAAATGTACCATGTCTCAGCACAGAGGCAGCCAAATGGATCTCCTGAAGTCCATCTAGCCCCACATTGCTGTAATTGTCTGGTTACGGCCAGCTAAGACCTAGCATGCCCCAAATGTATTTTTACGTGTTTGTCCATTTTTATCTCTTCTCACACACATTGTTTACTTTCCAGAGAGAAAGGAGTGATTTCTGCTCTCTTTGGTATGGCAACAAGCTAGATTTTCAAAAACAGAATAGACTTTCAGCAGGGAAGCCATACACTTGTATTTTGCTTATAGATGTTTCTCCAGTCAGTCTGTGTTGTACTGAGAAAGTCTGTTGACAGGGACAATCTCCTGAGCTTCCAGAATCTCTCTATTAAGCAGAATGGTTTTATAATGTAACCAGTTGGGCAAGATGCAATATGTTTCCACAAGTGGCCTCCTTTCCATAATAAGATCATTATTAACAGAGTGTCTATCATTGTAAATAGCTCAAGTTTTGTTATTTCTGTCATACCTGTGTGCTTCTGAAATGAAACAAAGAAAATGCGTATCAAAAGATACACGTATTTATGGAGCATATTCAAGTGTAGTAGGTGAACTCCACAATACTGCTACAATAAAAACTAAAATCCACTAACTAATAGGCAAGAAAATAAAACAAAGCACTCCAGAAGATGAACTCTGATTCAAATGGAGACTTTCATCTCCATCAGGCAAGAAGAGGGATGCTGTGAGATAGTAACAGCAGTAAAATTATTGCAGTAGTGCAAACTTCTTCCAAGAATTGTTCCTCACAGTCAGCAGTCAGTATGCTTATCATGGCACGGTGCAGTGCAATACTGCTCAAATTGTCTTCCTCTGTCACTTAGCTCTTGAAATAAATCCATTACAAAATATGGCAGTTTACACAGGAAAAGGTAACTATATTCTAAGTTAAAAATACACTAAAATTCACTGACAGAAGTAGTCTGTAGCATCACTGGAATATTCCTTACCAAAACATATGACACAGCAACTGTGATCATAGTTTCATGGAACAACAAAGAAAAAGAAAAATGTTGTTTGTTTCATTCTCATTTTTCTAAATTAGATATCAAATTCCCAAAATTAATTACTACCATTCTTTAAAAATTGAGAAGATTCTTTGGGGGTGAGGTGGGAATTATTTATGTTATTAGTATTCACATAGCTGCTGGTAAATGCAAACCACTTCCTTAGCTATAAAAGCCCAAACGTATTTAGAAAGCAAATTCCAAGCTTTAGGAGTTTGGTAGGCATAAGGAAGAAAGCAGTAGTTCGGAATAACGATTGTCATTTTTTGGCTCAGATTAAAAACTGAGATGATATTCACTCTTTGCAGATGAGACAGATCTATTTCACAGGCTGCTTTGTAAGAGGAAACTTTTGTATGTTGAATTATAGTATCATTACAAGAAATATTTCACAAGATATTTCATTTACCAATTCTGACTCCAAACAGCATATGAATTAAATTGTTGCACTTTATCACTGTAATAGTTTTAAAAAGCAAATCTAAATTTCTTATCTAAAATAAAAATCGACTATATATATATATATAAAAAGTTTACCTTTAATCTGCAATTTAAATAAACTTGCAAATGTCATGCTGGAAAAAAATTAGGATATTGCTAATAATTAAAGAAGTTACAGAACACCATTTGGGGCTAGATGCAAGCCCATTAAAATCAGTTGAAGTAACACAATTGAAATAAATGAGATTTAGATGAGGTGCTTATGAATTGTCACAAGAAAGCAGGTAAATTACCGTGTTTTCCATAGTAGTTTTCTTCATCTCTATCCATGTTATTGTACCTGGATCATTTTAGCAAGCTGTCTGTGTGAGATATTAACTAGTGTTGCTAGCACACTTTCCCCAGCAAGCACAGATACACAAAAATAATATTTCAATAGATTTTATAATAAAGCTGAGTGTCATGGACTTCTCCAATCAGAATGGAAATTCACAAAGTAGGCAGGCCTTTCTGTGAATAGAAAGTTATCACTCAGTGCCTTGCCCACCTACTCCAAGCCAGTCTGATAGTATAAATGAAGAGGAATGACTCTTACCAGCTTGTACTAACATACAATGTATAAGCAGAAAGGCAAATGTCTGCACCTGAATACCATTTGTAAAATAATCTTGTGGAAGTCAATACAACCGAAAAAAATTACTGATGATTTGCTAACTGAGAATAAGGTATCATACTGTCAGTAATTACTGTGTTTTTGCAGCCTGTGCTACTGTGAGTGAAAATAGTCTTTACATGTCACAGCTGGCCAAATATTTCTTCCTCTCTACACATGACTAGCTCCCCCAAAGTACAAGTCATGCAAGTAGGAAAAACAAGATTTACTCTGACACATTTAAGTCTAAAATCTAAACTGTCTGCTGTATATCAAATTTTCATTCTTGTCAAGTGAAACATTTATCTGTAGAAGTAGTCATAATTTACTAAATTATTTTCTTAACAAAATGTACATTTTGTATTTCTGCATAGCACAAAAGTGCAGAACAGTAGTTAGTGCTACAAAGTCTTAGCATTGTTACTTTAGATACTGTACTGCCTATATAGTGAAAGGAAGTACAAGGCATTATAGGTGGTATGTGAATCTGAAAGCCTGAAGCCATTTAAAAAAAAAAAAAAAAGGTAGCAACCTCTCCTTTTAGCCACAAAGGAACAGAATTCCCATGTGGTGATCCTGACCAGTGTAAAACTTCCCTTCTCTGTGGAATATGATTAAAACACCAATTGTAGAATTCTGTAATGAGAAATATGTACACTTGTACATGCATTTCTACATTAATTTTACAAGACAGAGCTGAACTACATGCCGGAACAACAAAAATAATGTTTTTAAGTCAACCCTGTCACTGTGTAGTACACAATGACAAAGAATGATCTCATAGTTCACAAATGATGCTGGTGATATGAAGTCACAGCCCATTTTGTGATTACAGAACTTAAAAGCAATGTTCTAATATTTACCAAATGAGATATTTAGTACAATCAGTATCAGTAAATGAAGGTAAAAATAATAGGATGAGGATGTAATTGATCTTTTGTAAAATATTAACCATTGACTGAACTCTCATACTTAACTACCTCCCAAGACTTCCTGCTATTCTTAGACAAATACAAAAAAAAAAAAGAAGCAGAGAAGCCAAGTGACTATGATTCTACTGTACTCCTACTCAAGTTTGCACCTCTGTCAAAGGCTGCATCAGTAAATCTCAATATAGTACAGTAACAGAAGGCCCTGAACAGACAGTGCTAAACACAGATGTACACTAACATGGCATTCAGCCAGCAATGTATTACCCAACTCTAATAAAATGCTCTTCCTCCTTCAATAATTATTAAGTTTCTTCAGGTTTCTTCCTTGGTGTTTGATCAACAATTACATGTGCCTGTGGCTAGAGTAGGTGTGGCTTTTTAAGAAAATAGTATTTTTATTAGAAAGGTGTTGGAGCTTTATGTGTATGTGCTGCTTCCCTCTACTGGAGTAAATAGGTATGTTCAAGTAATTAAAAGTACTGTAATATGCATCAGCAATAGTAACGCCTCCTTTAAGGCAGGTGTACACAATCTGCTAATTCAATGCTCAAAGATACAAGTGCACAAGCCAACAAATTAGGCTGCTAATAAATGCTCGGGGTGTATTAGGATTGAATGATGTTCATCCCAGATGATGTTTCTCTAAATAATCATTTGAAGATTTTGATGCTTCTGCCCTTCTGTTCTGGGTAGGAGTAGGAAAAAACAAAACAACACAAGGCCTTGCACAATTCATCTATCCCTTTCAGAAGCAGAAACTTCTTGAACATATATGAAAGACTAATCTTTGCAAGGTTTACAGTCTAATTTTGCAAAGAATCCAAATAAATGTTTGAGATGTACTGCCGTTTAGTAGCAGTCAATTTAATTTTGTTTAGGCAACCTTAAGCTACGTTGTAAGTCACATGTAATGTTCCTTATACAGAAACAGCCTAATGATCCTAGTAATATAAAATAATACATGATTGTATTATACATAATGTATACATAGTAATACATAATGTATTACTTTTACAAACGTGTAGAGGCAGCCTATTAAGTCAAAAGGTTGACATTAGTATAAAAACAGCTCTTCCAATAAGTCTTGTGCCTGGTTTACACGCATACAGTTTTTTTTCCCTCTTTGAAAGATTCGGATATAACTCGTTTGTTATGAGATCATATACTGATACACACATAAATTTCAGTTATAATAAAAGCATACTTATAATTCCTCTCTTGTGTAATAAATCATACTAAATGGTAGCCTTCTTTGAAATATCTTTTATCTTTTTCTGTTTATTGCTCCTTCAGCCAGAAAAGCTAATGAGGGGATGAATACAACCCACCTTGAATTCCATTTTTAAATGCCAAAGAAGACACACTTTTCTGACTTTGGGTTGTGGGGTGGTTTATTTCCTGTTAGCCATTCATGCAGACAGATTTTTCTTCCAGAAAAATAATTAAATGTGTTTATCTTTTAAAAGTTGAGAATTCAGCATAAAAGTCTCAGTGAATGGATGCCACACACTGAAATGTGAGTCAGCAATATCACTGCATTAAATAATTGTACTAGAGGTTTAATGTCTTCATCCTATATTATATCACAGGCTAGACTGCGTATGTTGTGTTTGTTGGAAACCTGGCATGGCAGAAGAGATCCCCTTGATTGTTTCTTCATGTGCCCACGCATGCACATGAGCTCTGGTACCTTGAGCATTACAAATTAATCACGTAAATATCCAAAAACTAAGTAAAATGTTTTCCTTCACATTTAAAACATTAATTTAGGTTGAACAAAATGGTACAAGTAGAAGCTATTGGGGACAATAAAATAACCTAAGAAATGGCAACATTAGGTGATTAAAGTCAGGGCTAAAGAGGGGCTCTGGGTTCTTAAATGGAATCCACAGCTCTATATCACTTAGGCCATTTAACAGCTGTGAAACATAAGTCTATCAGAAAAGGCTAGAGGCATCCAGCACACTGAGGCAGGGGATGATTAACTAGCTAGTAGAAAAACACTGAATAAATAAATGCATCATCAGTTCAGTTCTCTATAGGTACTTTGGTACCTAATTCTGAGCAAAATTCACAGGCCTGCATCTTTCCCTGGAGTTTCTATCAAATAACAAACAAGGCATTCTTTCCTTACAAACACAGATGCCAGAGGCGATGATGGTGCCTGTCTCCCAGTCACATACAAATAGACTGCTCCAACTCGAGATGCAAGAGATCTAAATTCAGACCCACACTGCGGGAACAGGAGGCTAGAAGACATTCCCCTTACGTGTCAACAGAAAGGCACTCCATGCAGCTGTAAGAGTTACTGTCAGAAAGAACACAATTGTGTATATGTTTGGGTAGCTCATAGTAGATGAACCAAGAATCCTGTCCCTACTCCAATATTTAATATGTAACATACAGTCAGACCAGTAAGTTCTTTCTTTCCAATACAAAAAAAATCATTTTCCCTTCTTTTAAATGTTTTAAGCAAAAATTTCTTATGCTATTACACAGAAGTTAGTTTTTTTCTGCCAGATCCCCAAAGTACTCTTACCTTTCATCTTATTAGGAATTCCCAGAATGCAAAGCTTCAAAAAGATCTAACTGGTACCTTGGATTGCATTGGTAATAGTAATGCAAGAGGAAAGTTATTAATAGTAATGAAAAACCACTTGCTCTATCATATGACAATCATCCAGATTTCAAATCAAAACATTTTGCAAGAGGTTTTTGATCAACTCACAAAACAGGAACTGCACTAGCAAACAGCAACCAGAACAAGGAAATTTTTATTAACGTACAGTGCAATAAATTCTTCAATAAGCTACACACCCAAGGGAACAACTCTTCATGGTGCTATATACTTGCTACTGCATTAGACAAGTGTGAATTCATTCCCTCCCTGGAATTTTCAGAAAGATTAACACATGAGAAGACAAGTTGTGGTTCAACAACAGAACAAATGACACTAGTTGAAATGCTCTGTCTTCTACATTCTCTAACCACTCCCACACAATTCTTCTAATTCATTTCCATGTCCACACATTCCTTTCGTCCTGTAGTTCTGAATCAGCTTTCCACTACATTCCCTGTTTTTCAGGGAAGGCAAAAGCATATGCAATGGGTGTTTTGGAATTACATTGTGATCACTGGCTAACCACTATGCTCAGGTTATTTGTCCGTGGACAGCCACCACTCAGAATGTTCAAGGGGCTAACTAGGGAGGCAACAGTCATGCAGGGCACACTCATGAACTAGGCAAAGTGTTGAAACCTAAATGATATTTGAATCCAGTACTGCCTTTATACTACTGATACTGGCTCATGACTTGCAAAAAATGGAGGGGTGAAGAGGGAAGAGGAGGTGGCAGATGAGACAAACAGGTCACTTCATCACATCAATGTCCCTTTCTTTACACAGTTGCACAGACACAAATCTTCATATGCAATTCACCATTTCCCATCCACATTCAGTCTGAGTTTCAAAAATGACTGCCACTGACTACAGTGGAGCTGAGGGCATTCAGCACTGCTCACAAATCAAGTATTACCTCCACAAGTCTTACTGAGGGACACGATAAAAGAAGGGGAGGAGGGGGAACACAACACGGTGAAAGACAAGGGTTTAAGTAGGTTTCAAGAAGACCAAAGTACTATGTACTTCTGCATCAGTTTTACCCATCATACAGACTCCTCTGCTTCCCAAGCAGTCCAGGCCATCAGCACTACATATGTACATACCATAAAGAGAATTGCCTGCGA